CCTCTACGGTGCAAGAGAGGCAAGAAAGCAGCCAATGCTTGTGCCATCTTAGTTACAGATCTAACACCCTCTTCCGAATGGCTATGCGAAAAATAATCCAAAGCATCGGGAACTTTTTTACAACTCTCTTGACGAAATTCTAACGTTGTGCTATTGCAGGCACTTGTAAGTGTCACAAATGTCCTCCATTCACTTATCCTCACCCCCATTACCAGTCCTCTTCCAAATGACCGCGTGACCCATTCTACCACAAGCTGCGATATTCAAAGCGACAAACTCAACCACTTCTCATATGCCCATCGACAGTACCCAACTTTGTGAACAACATTTGTACACTACTGACACCTGTGATGTCTCTGTGAAAGCACATGATTGTGTCATGCTCCACAATGGTAGCGTGGAATGGGGAGCCTCACTAATGGTATCAATGGATCGGTTTGACACATCAGTCAAATATGAACCAGCAGAGCCTCGCAAAGCTTTCCTCTACCTGTGTGAATGTTGGGATGACTCCAAACAGCGATATACTGCTCATTAGGAATTACATAGCAGAAGTGAGAGATGCCTAAAATTTGCTGGAGAAGTCCAAGCTTGAAAGGTGTAGGTGATGACTGTGTGATCCCCTATTTTTGTTTCCGCTGACTATAGCACATTAGTGATTTCTTGGTGATTGGAGACACTGAAGAGCCACTGTTTTACCCTGCTGAATCGGTTATTAACAAGTGGCGGCTTCTTATTTGGAGCAAATTTGGCCTTTTCTCCACCAGACACAGGTGCTATTGTTGCAAGGTGGACAGAAGCGCTTCTGATCACTGCGTAGAAATAAAACAAAGTAACCCCAACGACTCTTGCATTTTTCTGCCCCTGTTTTAGTTTCAACATGAGAAAATGGTTTTTTAGGACAAATGTTTCATAGACTTGAAATTGTGCTATTTGAGGGTAGACCGAACATGGAAAACAATTTTCATCGAGCGCACAAAATAAGTCACAATCAATTAACTGGCAGGAGATATGAATAGTGAAAGTCTACTGCACATAGAAGCTTTTTTATTAAAAAGGTGGGGGAAGGAAATATTTCTCTCAGCTACTGCTACCACCTGTGGGCAGGTTGGCCAAATTGTGGCCTTCTTAAGTAAGCCCAAGAGACAGCCGATTGAATGAGTGCTCTAATGAGAGTTGCAAAGTGCTTCACTTCTTTTGTTCTTCCCCACACTCATCTTCAGCCCTTTCGTGAGGGAGAGAGAAAGGGAAAACTGAGTACACACGGATCCTCTGTGTGTCCTATGCAGTCCGGAAATAACTATCTCAGTGTGAAAGCCTTGGAGAGGACTGCAAAAATCACCATCTCTACGTCTTCACTCATTCTTACCAACCAACTGATCAAGTTACGAATAGTCAAACCTTCTTATCAGCCAAACTACGGAATAGAAAGAAAGAAGGGGATAAGCAACAAGTAGGACAAAAATCGCATACCAAACGGAGTCAAATGAAAGTGGCAAGCTGTGAAGGTGATCAGATAAGCCGCATTTTGCTAGTCAGATTATTTCTTCGAGCCCAAAAGGGACGAAATTCTAACGTTGTGCTATTGCAGGCACTTGTAAGTGTCACAAATGTCCTCCATTCACTTATCCTCACCCCCATTACCAGTCCTCTTCCAAATGACCGCGTGACCCATTCTACCACAAGCTGCGATATTCAAAGCGACAAACTCAACCACTTCTCATATGCCCATCGACAGTACCCAACTTTGTGAACAACATTTGTACACTACTGACACCTGTGATGTCTCTGTGAAAGCACATGATTGTGTCATGCTCCACAATGGTAGCGTGGAATGGGGAGCCTCACTAATGGTATCAATGGATCGGTTTGACACATCAGTCAAATATGAACCAGCAGAGCCTCGCAAAGCTTTCCTCTACCTGTGTGAATGTTGGGATGACTCCAAACAGCGATATACTGCTCATTAGGAATTACATAGCAGAAGTGAGAGATGCCTAAAATTTGCTGGAGAAGTCCAAGCTTGAAAGGTGTAGGTGATGACTGTGTGATCCCCTATTTTTGTTTCCGCTGACTATAGCACATTAGTGATTTCTTGGTGATTGGAGACACTGAAGAGCCACTGTTTTACCCTGCTGAATCGGTTATTAACAAGTGGCGGCTTCTTATTTGGAGCAAATTTGGCCTTTTCTCCACCAGACACAGGTGCTATTGTTGCAAGGTGGACAGAAGCGCTTCTGATCACTGCGTAGAAATAAAACAAAGTAACCCCAACGACTCTTGCATTTTTCTGCCCCTGTTTTAGTTTCAACATGAGAAAATGGTTTTTTAGGACAAATGTTTCATAGACTTGAAATTGTGCTATTTGAGGGTAGACCGAACATGGAAAACAATTTTCATCGAGCGCACAAAATAAGTCACAATCAATTAACTGGCAGGAGATATGAATAGTGAAAGTCTACTGCACATAGAAGCTTTTTTATTAAAAAGGTGGGGGAAGGAAATATTTCTCTCAGCTACTGCTACCACCTGTGGGCAGGTTGGCCAAATTGTGGCCTTCTTAAGTAAGCCCAAGAGACAGCCGATTGAATGAGTGCTCTAATGAGAGTTGCAAAGTGCTTCACTTCTTTTGTTCTTCCCCACACTCATCTTCAGCCCTTTCGTGAGGGAGAGAGAAAGGGAAAACTGAGTACACACGGATCCTCTGTGTGTCCTATGCAGTCCGGAAATAACTATCTCAGTGTGAAAGCCTTGGAGAGGACTGCAAAAATCACCATCTCTACGTCTTCACTCATTCTTACCAACCAACTGATCAAGTTACGAATAGTCAAACCTTCTTATCAGCCAAACTACGGAATAGAAAGAAAGAAGGGGATAAGCAACAAGTAGGACAAAAATCGCATACCAAACGGAGTCAAATGAAAGTGGCAAGCTGTGAAGGTGATCAGATAAGCCGCATTTTGCTAGTCAGATTATTTCTTCGAGCCCAAAAGG